CATAACAGCTATCTTGGAGGGAGACAACTTTTCTGCTAGCCCGTTTTATTACTATGCATACTATGTTTTGGCAAACTCCTTCTGGATTCTGATACCCTCGCTCATCGCTATCCGGTGTTGGAAGAAAATTTGTCTCGCGGTGCAGAGCCAAAGCCAGAAGAAGGTTAGGTGAGGTAAGACTGCATCACAGGCTGCAGAAGATTTCTTTGTTTAACAAATGTCTTAGTTTGTGCACTTGTGTGGCCCGAACTCGAAATCATTTAGTCATTCCAGTTAATCGGTTATCCATTTATGGACCTTAATTGTTTCGGATAGATTGCATGACGATCGTTTCCTGGTGGATACAGTCAAAATTGCTTGCATAACATATTATGATAGGGAAAGTCAATTATTGTGAGCCTTGGAGCTTAGCTGGTTCGTTGTACTCATGCCTCGATCGTGTATCGAACTGTGTGAAGTTCGGTACGAGAAAGCTGCATTTGTTCATGGTAGCAAGCTATGTTTATTGATCTCTTTCCTGGTCTTCCCTTGGGAGAATCAATTTGTCATTTGAATGCATGTTTTGCTTGGATATGTCCAACTATTTATAGAGAATACTGGTCTCAAGATTTTATTATTATAGATGTGAGGGACTAAAAATGAAAATTTTCAATTAATCAATGGCCTCCTTTTCATTAATTAATCAAGTTCTAAATTGTCAAGATTTATTTATTTCATACGTTGGAGATTGCGATATGAGTTTTGTTATTTATTTTGTATGTTTTAGATTTTAAGTTAAATTACGTGTTTAGTATCTAAATTATCAATTTTAGACTATTTTAGTATCTGAGCTTTTATTTTTTTCAAAATCATACCTAATGTTTAGTTTTTGATTCATTTTAGTATTTCGTCATTAAAAACTTTAATTTTTGTTTCGTATTAGTACTAATTCAAAATTTAACGTTAATTTTTGGAAATTTTTTTGAAATTTAGGTATTAAACATATCGAAATTGATAGTTCAGGTATTAAAAGTGTTAAATTTTTAATGATGAAATATTGAAATGAAATGAAAACTAGACATCAAGTATGATTTTAAAAAGTTGAAAATTTAAATATTAAAACATACCAAAATTGATAATTTATGTAATAAATGTTTAGTTAACCTTTTGGTTTAAGAGTCAAATTGATATTTTATCTAAAGAAAATAAATCAATATTTCATTTAAATTCCAGACATTAAATTAAAAATTAACTAGTGGTCGTATGAAGGATCCATATGAAATTCTCAAACTAGCTTCATAGGTAAAAAGCAAAAGGGAAATAAAAACCCGAATAATCCCTAAGGCTCAGGCCTTGGGCTCCTCGATTGCATTACGGAACCAAGAAAAGAAAAACCATAAGCCTCGTACGTAGAATTCCTTAATTTCATCACACTATCCAAGGTAGGATGTCTGAGAAATTACTTGACCCCCAGGCCCCAGTTGAAAACTGATCGAACTTGGCTTGAAAGCAAAACATAAAAGTACAAGGAAAACAACCCAAGATACTAAACTCTAATGTAACTGTAAAATACTAAATATAATTGTAGTTCAATTAAACATCAATGGTCTCTGGCATATTTTACATTGATCTCAAACTTTGAAACATATCAATTAAATCCCATCGGTCGAAAGAACTGCTAAAACTATAAGGGCATTTCTTTCTAATCATGGATATGGGAGGTTTGTTCCTACAAATATGTTGAGGGGAAAAATGAATGTACTGATGTGGTTTACTTCTGAATTCCCAGTTTACAACTAGTCTGGTTTCAGTTTTGTTATAGTCCTTCGACTTGATGATGCTTGTGTGAAGCGTTGAGTAAATCATTACCTAATAAATTAATCATTACCATACATATGTGTAGGACCCATCTATAGGTTGTGTAAATAATGCTTACTAATAGTAATGGATAGGAGCTTGACCTTTGTGTGAAGGTGTGTGATATTATTGGTTAATATGTTTGTATTTGCCGTTGCTGTTATGAAGGCACATCGGGAGTCTACAGGGACAGTATCAAGCAGCGACATCGGCATAGGAGAAGATCCGGTGGGTGCAGCCGAAGAAATAGCGTTCTGCAGGGCCTGTGCTCGATTCGGTCTCGGGCTGTATCTTTATCATGAACAACAATAGAAACATACACAAACAGATGCTGTAGAGAAAAATGGTCAATCTGTTCTTACTCCTACTGTTGAAGGACATTTCCATTACCATGAGGGAGCGTTTGGTTCATGAAATGTAACATTACCTTCGGGAATGAAAATATTTATATAAAAATTCATAGAAAATATATTATTGTATTATTTTCAATTTATATATATTTTATTACATTTAAATTCATAAAACTTATATAATTTTTTTCCAATATTTAAAAGATAAATGGGCATATTAAAAGTGTAAATATACCATATATTCTTTTAAACTTAATTAATTTTTAAAAAGTTATGATAATTTGTGAATAAAAATTTTGAAAAAAATTTGTGAAAACAAAAGATTATAGCTTTTAAATAAAAGTAATGATATTTTTGAAACAAATCTTTTGTTTCAAGGTCATTTTAGTCTAAGTTGAAGGGAAACAAAAAATACCTAAGAAAAACATGGGATTAGCATTCCCGTAAGGGGGTGATTGCTTCAAGGATTTCCCACATTCCCATGTTTGATTGGCCGGGAATCTCATTCCCGGTAATGTTTTATTACCAATAGTAGATTTTTTGGGGTATATTACCGGGAATGTCATTACCTCCCTTCCCTTAGGTATTGTAACATTACCGGCGTTTTGGACTAAAATGCGCTTAAATTTTTATTTTTTTCAAAAATATCATTCTTCTGTCATTGAATAATAAAAATTCTACGAAAGTTAAATTACAAATTTAAATTTATCCTTAAATTATTTTAGATTTACAAAAAAAAAAGTCTATAATTAAAATTTTATATGAAGTTCAGGGGTTAAAAAAATTTACCCTTTCATTAAACCTTTTTATATTTTAATTTTGTAAAAAAAAATTATATAAATATTATGAATTTAATTTTTTAAAGAAAATATATAAATATTTACAACTTGTAATATTATACAAATATATAATAAGGACAATTTGGTCAATATACATTCCAATAATCTTTATTCCTTTAACCAAACATGGTAATCTTACATTCATGCTAAACCAACCAAACACAAAATACTACATTCCCAATAATCCTATTCCCTGGTAATCTTTTATTCCCACTGGTAATCTTACATTCCGTGAACCAAACGCACCCTAAAAAGAGGAAAATTTTTACTGTTGGGAATATTTCCCATCCAAACGTGGGAATTTGAATCTGGAAAAAAATCCCACCAGGAATATTGAATTCCATGATCCAATCACCCCAAGAAGGTTTTAAAATTAGCTTACTCTGAAATTATAATTATTATTATATTTATTTTAGAAAGTTATTTGCATGCATGCATTATAAGATATTTTTATATAACATACAATGTTATAATGTATTAAATAAAAATTATCATGTATATTGATAAAGGAAATGGTAATTTACAATGTTATTATATTTATTTTAGACTGTTTGTATTTAATTTAAATTCTATGGTATGGTTAAAATCAATATGATATATGTTATGGAAATTTCAAAGTATTTATATTAAATAAGTTTATTTATTTTTTAGGATTAATAAAGTTCTATGATGAAGCAATTTCAATTTAACTTTTATTTATTACCGAATTAATTCATTAACAAAGTGTTTTGACGATATTACATTTCCTAGTTATGGATTTGATAAAATTTATTAATTATTTCACCCATTAATTGCAAAGTAACATAATTCAAAAGAATAACTATTGTACATGATTAAACCAATTGTTGTAGTCGTTGAACTATTATAATGTTAAATGCAACATCATAAAAATTGATGGACTGAAAATTAATACTAAAAGCTCCATTTTTCCTGAATAGTATCTTATAATATTATGGGTAAATTTTGTGTTTAGTACCTAACTATCAGTTCGTTTTAATACTTAAACTTTTATTTTTTTAACGTTTAGTTTTCATTTCATTTTAATACCCGCCGTTTAAAATTTTAGTTTTTGTTTCATTTTAATACCTCTGTTCAAAATTTAACGTTAAGTTTTGAAAAAAACTGAAAGTTTAGGTACTAAACTCGTTAAGTTTATAACAGAGGGGTATTAAAATGAAATGAAAACTAAACGTTAGGTATGATTTTGAAAAAAATAAAAGTTTAAGTACTAAAACTGATATTTTAGGTACTAAATAAGTAGTTTACCCTAATATTATTGATTCTTGTACTTTCAAGTAGCGACCCAAAAATTAAATTCAACATTCGAATGGTGACCTATTTTTGCCTCATTATCCATCCCATTCCCACTCATTTGGTTACACTAAAGAAAAGTGGGTTTTATGAGCCTTTTACTCGTATTTTGCAGGGTCCTATGTTAAACACGAAAATATGTTCTCCTCAAAATTTGTAATGGAGCTTTTGTTACCTCTTAAATTACACAAAATATTGGACGGCTGAGATGACAAAAACAAGACCATCCATGGATTCATATTATGAAAACAGTACACCAGTTTCCTCACCACTTCATTCTGGCCATTTCTTCTTTCCCATTTATCTATACTACCAACTCATTCGACTGTCCTCGTCTGTCGTCCAAAAATTTATCTTTCAGTGCTTTAATCTCCCCCCACGATCCTCGACGGAGCTAATTTTGATATATATTGTTCATCTCCTCAAAACAATACTCATAACCATTCGAATTTTAGCGTATAAGTAACCATAAAAACACTGAAAAACAACAATTTCCGATGATAACTGAAATTGGATAAAAGTTCGATATCCATTTGAAGGTCATTGGATTTCCAAATACCAAACATTTAGTATGAACAAATAAATTAAAAACCAGACACAATTACGCTAAATACATCATGATACGTGTATCAAACAAACATCAAGACTCTACTTATGCTTTAACCATGGGAAAGGAACATGAAAACTTTTAGCTTATGTTAGACAGGTAGAGAGAGAGAGAGAGAGAGAGAGAGAGAGAGAGAGAGAGAGAAGTCAAATGTAACTAGGTTGTCCCAATAGCAAATCAAGCATGTCATCGGGAGTTAGAAAAGTGGTTCCACCCAGAATTAACTCGATATCGGGTCTTCCGCTTTCTGACAATGCCTCGTGTGCTTCTTGTACCTTCCAACAATCGACAACAAAACAATGTGTCATTTTTATTCGGGTTGAAGGAAAATGTTTTTATGAAAAAGAAGTGGAAATTTTAATGAATCATTTTTCTAGTCAATATGTTTATACGTGGGAATAATGAAAATTTTCAAAGAAAAAACTGTAGAAGATGAAAGAAATTCAGACCTCAACACCATTAATGCCTCCAACAACAAAAACCAGAATGACATTTTGGTCTGCTACACTTGGGTTTGCCTGTAGTATTTTTTAAAACAAAGTTGAACACGTTAAAACTAATAAAATATATGCAGTAGGTAAGTTACAAAAAGGATCTGTGGGAACTAGAGTTACCTGTCCAAGACCAAATCTTCCAAACCCACTTTTAAACAGTCGACCTACTGTAGAGGAATGGTACTCCAATCCTGGCACATCAAACTTGCCCAAAATCTTTGTTAGAAGCTTATAAAGTAATCCTTTATTTGTGTAAGGATCGCCAGTTAAATTGCTTTCTGAAGCCAATGGTCCTTCTCTTAAAGGTCTATTCTTGCTCTTTAAACTAGAAAACTTGTGAAGATATTTGAAAAGGGTGTCCACTCGGTCGCGCAACTCCAACTTAAGCTGCATGTCATCATATTCCAGCTCTTTATTATCATTCTCTTCATCTTCATCTCCCCATTTGCCCCATTGTTCATCGTCAAAATCATCGATGTCTAAATGATCTATTGATGTTTCTTTAGTTACATCTGATTTAGGTTTGTTTAATTTGGCCTCAAGTTCTGGTGTTAGACCATGAAGAAACTTCAACCTAGCCACCGATGGGTTTTCAAGTATTGCATCCAAAATAGCTTCTTTAAGAAAATGCTCCTCTTGCCAAGAAAAAGGGCCACTGGATCCAGAAGTTGGGAAGTTTTCACCAGCCAATATATAACCAGTAATTGTGAGGAGCAAAGCATCTTGAAAAGAAAGTAGCCCATGTGAGAGTTCCTTTTTTTTGCCATCTGATCCTGCAAAAGCACTCTTATTGATCAGATCACTTATTTGAGCAGCCAGACTCTGGCTCGTGTCCCCGGCATTAACGCTCAATATTTTCTCTGCGCTGATAAATGCATCCCATCTGACACTACATGATTCATCAAGGGCAGATAATGCAGCTGTAGCTAACTGAATAATTCCTCCGTTTCTAATTAAGGACGAAGGCCTTTTAGCTAATGCTTTAATCATGGTTTTCAATTCCGATTTTGAAGCCAAACCAGGGCGAGTTTTCACATAAGTGCTCATATTTTCTCGACGAAGAGTTTCCTGAAGCCACTTCTTCACCAGGATAGCCCCATCTTTTGTCCTCCTATCTAGTATGGCTTCCAGATATGGTGTTCCACGGAAACTTTCGGTAGAAACCAAGGACCCCTGTAGTAGCTCAGCAGGAAAAATCCTTTGATCACTAGCTTTTTTACAAAGATTAATCAAATCTACCATTTCAGGAGCAGAGTTATAGGAATCCCAACCACAGAGAAAAGCTTCAATTCTATTTGAAAGACCAGAATCATCAATTTCGGGATCTTCTTCAGTTAAAATTTCTCCAATTGGTATCTGAACCTCGAGGGAAGCACGCTCTAGGCTTCCAGGTATAAGTTGAGCCTGTGAGCTTTTGATACTTGTAGAAGATGATATTCTTTCCTTACGGGGCAAAGCAGAAAAGATACGATCTACAAGTGAATCTCCATGACAGCATGGAGTAAGAAGGTCAAGAGTACGATCAATAAGTAATAACCCCACCGTTCGTTTTCGACGTCCTACATCATAGAGACTTGACATGTCTGTCAAAATCTTCCCAATAGTTTTTGACAAATCACCAAGAGAAAAAATTTCCATTTTCAAATCCATCTACATGTTTTAAAAGAAGATACAACGGTCATGATTCTGAAAAACAGCATGGCAAGCTATAGTGCAATATAACAAATTCAGGAGGTAGAAGAAGCTGCTACATGTGTGGTAAAATAGATTTTCTTTTAGTAATAGTGCAATACGAAAAATTGCTGAGATAGAAGAACAAGCTGCATGTATGGTACAAAAGATTTCTTTAGAGCCTTTTTTTGTTCTTAAATTTAACCCTTGGTGTTAGACGGTACAGAGTATAGTTCTTAAAAGTTCCATATAATTCAAACCAAATGATTATCATTCTGTCACAGGGAATTAAAGTAATTCCATGAGCTTCACCACACAGCTTTCACAGAATCTGCACTTTGAGTGGTTTCTACTTTCTACACTAAACTAACATATAGAAAATACGAATGTATCTGAAACAAACATATGCAAATCAATTGGGAAAAAATATACAAAATGCTACAGAAAAGTACAAATTTGGGTTTACGGCTGCATAGAACTTCTTACCTTGGCAACCAAATGATACAAAAAATGTGCAGTAAGCGTTGCAGCAGGAGGAACCTCATCACCATCTGATGGCAATCCGGTACTCAAGGAAGGCAATCCAGCACTGAGAGAATCCTCGTTCTCAGCGGATAAGCATGCTTCGGCAATTGATCCCTCAGAAGGTAAGACAAACACTTTAGGTGAAAAGGGGCATAAAATCATGGGGAAGTGATGGACAGAAACAATCAGTTTTGGCCCCAAATCTACCATTTTCTGTCTTGGATTATTCCCATATAGATTTTTCCCAGTGGAACTAGCCTCAAGGGAAGGAATATCTTCTTCAGTGGAGGTGACTCTGGACCATCCTTCATCTTCAAAGGTCAAATTTTCTTTTGTATTATTATCAACAGAACGTCCAGACTTTAAATCAGAATTTTCAATAAGCTCCTCATAATCTTGGAGAAGCAAGGATTCATACTCATGGAATGCATCAGGTCCAAGAGGTGAATCAGGATATGCTGAATGAGCTACCTACAATAGCGCAACATTCAATACGGTTCAACCACAGTGGACTTAAGAGATGAAGAGAAAACAATAGCATTGTAAGTGAATGCAAAAAGAAAGATCTGAAACACATAAAAAACATGGCACAGTATTCCATCAGTTGCGCCTTTGCAGAAGAGTAAAACAGAAGAGACTGCAATGATCAAATTAATAATATCTACTAATTGAAAGTATAAATGCCCAAAACGAGAGATTACCTCTGAGATAGATGTAAATATCGAACAAAACAAAACTCCTTGATGCATGCTCAGAGTACGTAGAATATAACGGTGTGCATCACTTAATAAACGAGAAGTCATAATTACAATTTTCTTTGCTGGGTCATAATTTCCATTCCAGTCAGCTACCTAGAGAAAAAAGGCATGTAGCAAATGAGAATTGAAATGAATATAATAAAGGGAAATCTTGTTAGCATTTCCTAACAAAACAAACAGGGTTGATGATTTGATAGATAACAAATGGATTCTAGCGGCTGTAATTCATAGCATTTGTCCACCTTCCTCTACTCTTAGTCAAGGTGTAGAACAACATGGTGCAGCTCAATCAAAGGGAAAATTCTGGTGCACAATTATATACATAAAACTTATTATTTAATGGCAAGAAATATTACCTAGAAAAGGAAAACATAATTAATTAATTAAAAGATAATGATTTGGTACATTTAAGTTTTGAGGTTTTGAGATAGCACACCATTCCTTGTCCGCATTTTAACATCCTGGAATACATAACTATTCACAATAACCTTCTTTTCCCATATTTACAGATTTAGAGCTACAACATTCTTGTTAATAAAATACAGGACAAATTCTGCATCTCTTTGGAACCAAGGACAGGTGGGAAACCAGTCGATTTTATTTTCAAGCTAAGATAAGAAGCACTTGAAAGAGCTAAGGTTTCATGTGGCATGACTAGCTTACCACATCAAGAGAATACGTGTTTTCCAAGCTACAAACAGCACGCACTCCAAGGTCCAGGAATATAGGAAATGCTCCCACGAGCTGGAAACTTTCCGTGCATCCAGCATCTAGGTAAACAATTGCATCTTCAATGTGTTCTGATATCTAAAAGGACAAGGAAAGGACCATAACATAACTTAATCCAAAACACATAAGGATAGTCATTATTCAAATCATACCAGATCTATGCATATTTAATGATACAACAAACTCAATTGTAGATTTGGAAGATCCATTGCCTGACCATTCACTGTCTTAGGCACCAAAAATTTCAGAGCAAAGAATTCAGGTACAATTTATAGATAAGATAGATACATGCCAACAAAAATCTAGCAGCAACAGGAATTTCTCACTTTGTTCACTGAAAGTAATACCTAATGTAAGATATGTTTCAGTTTCAACCAAGCATCTACCGTAGTTAAAAATCATAACGGAAATAGAATTACCAATACGCAATCGATACAAACGGAGATGCTTAATTCAATAATAGATAAAATTAAGAACTTACTTGGCGAATCGAATCAAGGCATGATTTGGTTACATCAACAAAAGCCATCAGATCTTCAACCAGAAGAGAAAATCCGTCAGATAAATCAGAATCTGAAGAAAAACCATTCTTCACAAACAGCGCCTATGAGGGCTTAAACATTATTAAAATTCATCTTCTTTTTCCGAAATCCACCCGATGAAACTCGACTGAAATCAACGGGTTATCGGGGAATTCGAATACCGAACAACCAAACCTTGTGAAATTAACGACCTACCTCGAATGAAACGTTGCACAAATGCTCGATCTTTGAGAGCATACCAGTGGCCTAAGCTCCTCTCCAAGCTCGGATTCTACCCTTCTTCTCCTTCTCTTATTTGCATCATAAAATAACAAATGAGTAAACTATAAAAGAGGTTGTTATTGTTTTGGTCAATTTTATTTTACCATTAATATTTAAGATTATTATATTTTAATCATTAATGTAATCAATTTATCCTAAAATGATTAAATCGTTAATTCTTATAAAATTAACGACGTGACATATTAATAAAAAAAATCCGTATCTAAAACATAATTAAAATATTAGTTTGATCCTTTAATAATTTTAATTTTGGATCACTTAACATTTAGATTATTTTATATTACAGCCATTTTTAAGTCGTTTGAGTTTAAATCAATCAAATTTAATATTTTAAATTTTAAAATATATATATAATTAGTTTATAATATTAATATTATTAACATTTTATACTTGTGATTGAATTTGTTGTACAATTGTGACTTAATCGATTCAGAAGTTAAATGATGTGATGCAAGGTTTTCAGTGGATCAATAATTTTGTTTTAACTTTACTCGAGCTAATTTTAAATTTTCTCAACAATTTTTTGGATAAATAGTTGTTGCTTATATTATTAAAAAAACAGCCCTCGGAGGGCTAGCCACTATCTCTGCCGGTTGCTTTCATACTGGTCTTGCAGCAGGCAGCAGTGAATTTAGCAATTGAGGCTCTGTCATTTTTGAGCTTGATTCCTCGGTCGTTGTTAACAAATTCAATAGGATGTTTCAACGCTTGGAGTTCACACGGGGGCCTATTCGTGCAAAATGTAATAATTTTTCCCATTGTTTTGTTGTGTATGTAAATCGTACAACGAATGCAATGGCACATTCGCTTGCTACGACAGCTCTACGATCTAGTATGTCTTATTATTTGACTCAAATTACCTCGAGTTTATCATACTGGATGTAACGAATGATATGTTTCCTATGCGATCAATGGACATTCTTTTTACTTATAGGACCCCAACGTAATGTTAATAGAAGAAGTTTTAATGAGACCCTTTAATTTTCAAAAAAAAAAAGAAATACAACCTATGTAGGTTTATCTCAACCTACGGGTCCTCAATCCATGCACAAATACATATTAATCATCTTGTTCATGTCTATACAATTTAATGAGTAATCTCTTTTATACACTCTACAATGTCGACAATCGTCTAAACTGTCTGTGATTGCATTCCTCCGAGACGCAATACAAAATTTCCGTTCAAATCAACTTAAGGATTCGTACAAGAGAAGATCCACGGCCTGTAAACAAAATATCATCCCAACACATAGTCCTACGAAACAATCTGTAAATTTTGCCCTGAACCCTAAGAACAACCAGAAAATGGGCCCATAGCAATTCCACATAAATCATCTGTAATTATTTTAAGCTGAGCTAACCTATCTGTAATAGACAGCCTATCCAAAATGATCATCAAAACAATAATAAAATGTTTAAAAACACGAAAAGAGAAACATATAAACCTGTGCCACTACATCTTATCTATTTTACCCTAATATTTTCTCAAATTCAGCCAATTAATACTAAATCATCTCTCTCCCAATATATTTTATAAATTATAAAATCGATTTAAATTAAATAAAATATTTAAATTTTTATATTATTCCGATTTCGATTTTTTTTTCTAAATATCTTATTAAAAATGGAGGTGAATAGACCCTACACATTGCTCACGCATTTAATGTCGTTGCAGCTAATTTGTTCAACTGCATTCAGTTCGACCCGCCTCGTAATTGACATATATACCCCTACTCTTTCCCATATGACCATAAACTCTTCTCACTTTCATTGACAAAAACCATCTCGCCTTTCACTTCCCGTTTCAACTACGACCTTCTTTGTTGGCGGTGGAGCTCGATTCATGTCGTGGTGGTGGCGTAACGTGCAGCCCGCCCCCAAGGATCCTATTCTTGGTGTTACGGAGGCTTTTTAGGCCGATCCCAACCCCGATAAAGTCAATGTTGGAGTCGTATGTTTCTTCTCTTTCTTTGCTCCTACGCTTTTCTGTTTTTTGAACGACTTACTGATGTGATCACAACTACACAAATGGATCATGAAGTTATGCCCAAAGGACCTATCACTCGTGCAAAGGCAAAACAATTCAGGGAAGTACTTTCTCATAAGTGCCTTAATGTTTTTAAATCTTTTAATGAGAAAGAACCATTAGATAATAGGTTGTTTAATATGTTACATATTGAATATTAAATAACCTATAGTCACATTTTTATAATATACACATTATATAAGTTTATATACTTAGTTTATTTTCTTATGATATGCATGTAGGCACATTCAGCCAACAATTAGGAGCTGCATTGGAGCTAAATGGAGCATGTAACAGCAAGGAAACTTACATGGGATCGATTAGGAGAGCACAAGGAACAATTGGTGAAAAGTTGTCTGGAGGCCGTGAGCTCATAGCTGAATTGAGCTGAAGATTTGAGCTACAAGATGACCTCATTTCAGCTGGGGAATTGCACCATCATCATCACCACTTAGGACGCTTCAAATATGTCCTAAGTCAAAATTTGTGAAATCGTACCTTTTCGCGAATAGTTGCCACCTCAAGAGGTACCTTTTCACAAGGAGCTGCCCAAATGTTCACCATGTTACAAGTCATCTAAGGCCAGCTCACCACCAGCTCATTCACACCCAAAGTAGCTCAAACATGAAGGGTTACCTTTCCAAACATTGTGACCTTTCATGAATGATGCTGCCCATGAAGATGCCTTTTCAATAAGGAACATGTGGATGAAGAGATCACACCTATTGGAAGCTTAAATCACCAAGAGATATGAGCTAAAGGATCCATGCCTATTCGGCCACATCACATGCCATGCACATGAGAGCCTTTGGCGCCAAACATGAAGAGACACACCACCATTCGGCCAAGGGAAGAAAATGGCGCCAAGATGAACAAGCATGCCCATTCGGCCAAGGGAGATATCTTCCCATCCTTAGTCGAATCATTAAGGCCTTTCATGAAGAGTTAGCCGAACCATCACAAGCCCAAAGGACTTATTCATTCATCTCAAGCATTATGTGTTTTCCTAGAGACATGTATCTAGCTGAAACAACTTGTAACCATTCGGCCAAGCCCTCTCATTTCCTATAAATAGAGTGGCTTGCCTTCATTTGTACTCATCTCATCTCTTATATAAAACATACTCTTGTGTGTTAATTTCTCTTCAAAGTTCTTTGTGAACTTTATCGATTAAGCAAGTATAATTCATATACTTGTGGCGTCATTCCTTCCATTTTGATTCCAAAATTCCTAGATTGTTATCTAGTGGGTTGAAGACACTATCACCACCCCTCAAGCAAGTTTGTGAAGACCGGGACTGTGCTTCATAGCATAGTTTCCTCTTTGGCGTGTTTGAGATACAACATCACCACCATTGCCATTTCATCATCACCATCATCCATCTCTTCCATCAATTCCGCAGCCATCTCTATCATTTCTTTATTTCATTTCATTCTTATTATTTCTTTTCATTACTTATATTATTATTCACTTATTAAGTCAATTATTAATCATATTTTTTATCTTATTTTGCAGCCCAAACTTATAAATTTAAGGACATCAGTACTTGTCAATCCTAGATCGGGACACAATAAGACTATCTACTCTCTTCCATCAAAGCGTGTAGATTCGCCTTACATCACTTACGCTAGCGTGTTTTTTTCGTTTTTGCATTCTAAAATATCTGTACCACGTTCCAGACTAATTACGTTGATCTCTTCTGTTTGGATTTGTTTTGTAAGTTTCTCAGCTACCAAACAGAAGAGGAGTTATTCACTATTGCTTTTGTTATTTGCTGTATGTACTTGATTGTATATTTGTCGGATTTTACATTTTTCTATTTTTTTTGAATTAATTATTTCAGTTGACTCCTTTTGGTTTATATTATAATTTAATCCTATTTGCTTGTCTTCATATTTGATTTTCTATTTGTTGTTTCAGGCACATAAATATATTAATGTTTGTATGCATGCATGCATAAACTTATATTTGTATATTTGTTTTATTGAGGCGGAATATGTTTCCAGAGTCCATCCAGGTAATAAAATAAATAGTTCGATTAATACGTGAAAGACATATCATGGCTCACTAGTTGAATTCCGCGGTGAGGACTAAAGTAAGGATTATTCAATAGTAATTTCAAGCACGAACAAGATGAATTTGAAACCTGTTGACAGAGATACGCAAATTTCTTTGTGTTGCTGAAAATGCAAAAGCAATGGTACAGGACTTGTTTTCAGGGTGCTTACCGTGATGATAATGGGAAGCCGGTTGTTTTGGAATGTGTCAGAGAAGCCGAGCGACGAATTGCTGGGAATTTGAACATGTAAGCCGTTTTTTATGCTAAACATCGTTGTTCCAAGTATAGCATAAAACTAAACTAGTTAGATTTTTTTCGATTATTATTATTTATTTGTACAAGGAAAGACAAAGCTTTGTTAATGGTATTACTAAATTTTGTTAGTCAGCTTGGTAAAATTAGAAGATCAGAGTTAGATAAACTTTTCGGTTTGACTCCTTGAAGTGGATTGTGTTGGGACCTTCAAAATTATAAACCGATTTCTGACTTACTGGTATATGTAACTGTTTTTGTATCCATTCTCTCTCTCTCTGTAAGTCTTTGGGTCTACTAGTCCTAGGCACAAGCCTTAACAACAAGTAATGTAGGACCATGTTTTGTTTTCTCATTTTGAAGATGGTACATAGAGAAATTTTCTCGCACTATTCCTTTTCTTGTGCACATAGTTCATTCATATCCGATTCCTATGAGAGCAAGGTGCATATAACACATCTATTTGTTGGACTATGCTTACTGAACTTCTTTTGCATGTTCTTTACCATCTTATGGGAGGATTGTATTGGAACTCGGGGATATTTAATCCTTTTCAACAATCATTTGAAATACTCGAACCTATATTTGTAATCATTTCCGTATTCTTTTATTATTTCTATGGACTTGATAGAAATGTTATCCATGTGTTTTTTTTTTTCTACCAGGGAATATCTTCCTATGGGAGGAAGTGTGAAGATGGTGGAAGAAACACTGAAGTTGGTCTATGGTGAGAATTCTGAGTTGATAAAAGACAGAAGGATAGCAGCAGTGCAAGCACTCTCAGAATGATTAAAAAAATGAACATCATGTATTTTCTAAATATATCAATATTTTAGATGTTATGGGGTGTTTTAACATTTTCCACACGTAATCAACTCTCGAATATCATTTTTTTAATTTAATATCGAGACCCATTTTAAAGTTTTCGATCACATCTAAACCAAAAGATCGACGAAATCTCCATTTTCAAAATATATACACTTGCTATAATTATTTTTGAACTACCTAATAGCGGTTTCCACCGTTCTTTAAATTATTAACTAAAATATTGGTTTAATCATTTAAAAAATAACTATAATTAAAAAAAACTTCAAAAATATCAAAACATTTCATAAAATGAAATCAAAAGTTAACCCAAAATTCTATTTCATAAAAATTTTAAGTATGAATCAAGCAATTTAACTATTAGGTACCTAATTGCACCAAAAAATATGCAGGAGCTTAGCTTGGTAAATTGCATCATCAGCCCTGGAAGAGGACTGGCTTGCGTATTAGGGAAGTTCCGGAACTTGGAGAAAATTCGCTTGGACATGCGCGTTGGAGTAAGAAACTCTGACATTGTAAGCTTAGCACAAAAGTCTAGCAATATTCGGTCGATATCCCTCCGAGTTCCTTCTGATTTCTCACTGCCTTTATTGATGAACAATCCATTACTCTTTAACTGATGAGAGTCTAAAAGTTATTGCTCTGAACTGTCCGATGCTTGAAACGGTGAGGATATCATTCTCTGACGGGGAGTTCCCTTCGTTTTCATCGTTTACTTTAAACGGTATTCTTAGTCTGATCCAAAATTGCCTAGTTCGGGAACTTGCTCTCGACCATGTCTATTCCTTCACTGATATCGGGATGGAAGCTCTATGCTCAGCTCAGCATTTAGAAACCCTGGAGCTTGTGAGATGCCAAGAAATAAGCGATGAGGGGTTGCAGCTAGTAAGTCGGTTTCCCCGTATCCGTGTTTTGCGGCTGAGCAAATGTTTGGGGATTACAGATGATGGGTTCAAAACTCTTGTTGGTTCATACAAACTGGACTTATTGGCTGTTGAGGATAGTCCTCAAACTTCCGAAAGAGCAATCTACGGTGCCGCTAGATCGATATTGTTCCGGCGAGATCTGTCATGCATGTATTGAACTATTTGCAGGCTTGAGTAGTAAAGTGTAATTTATATGTTTCCTTTGGTTTGTGCAGCCTTCCCAATTTCAATGAACATTTCTGCATCTCATTTTGGTATTGTATTTTCTTTACATGTAACAGTTGATAATAACAATTACATTTGTATATGCTAAATTCTATTATTGATTGCTGAAAATGCTATCAAAGGGAGATCGTTTGACAATAAACGCTTATATATTTGTATACATAATATTTAAATTCGAGACTTTAAGAGATATAATGAAATCTCTTAATTATTTATATCGTTTTGCTCTTGTGATGAAACAATATGGGTTGGAAAGAATTGAAAAAATAATAGAAGAAGTAATAAAGTACCTATATAGAGATTTGGGCATTGATACCAATAAGATAATACCGATATTCAATATTAGTACCAAAATCAATGGAGTATTATGAAATTTGATTTTGACTTTGGTATCAATACTCTTCCGTTAAAGAAAGTTATGCCTAGTTTACGAGGGGCTATAGATCTTGGTAGGCATGGACCTGATATTTTTAGTGTACGGACTAGATACCTCAAAAAATAACAATAATTAATTTACCATGAAAGTAGTTTCGTTGGCGTAAAACTTGGCTGCGCAGCGCAGATAGAGCTGGATTTGTTGAAGTGAATAGTACATAGTATGTTATGTATTTATTGTTCCACTGCCTTTGAAAATGACACCCAAAACAGCAACAACATATCTCCACAGTAGATCGCATTCACATCTAATGAGTCAAACTTGGAATGGACGGAGCCACCTTTAGAAAATATTGTAATTTTTTATACAAGTTTATTAAAAAAATAAAATTAACCCCATTTTAAAAATATTTTAGAATTATGATCAAACTAAAACAAAGAGTAAAAATGAGAATTAAAATTTGTTATTATTTCAATATTATTAATTGATACATAATCTTAAATTACTTTTACCTAAAAAATAATGAGCTTATTATCTTTTACTCAAATAATTATTTCGTAATTTTTCATAATTAAAGGAAGTAATAAAAAATACTATATAGGGACTTTTCTATCGTTTATCCTAATGGTTTATGTCGACAGAGAAAGATTCAATTATTATGTGCATGGACTTATATATAGCGGATAATACAGAAAGGGTAAATTACAAGTTTCATCACTTAACTTTACTATTACTTCTATTTTAGTCATTAAAATTTATGTTTTTAATTTAATCATTGAGTTTTGGACAATGCATTTTTATCACTCCACTATTAAATAGTTATGATATTGATAGGAGACACCAAAACGATGATGTTTTAAAAGGATAAAATCTTCATCAAAACGTCATCATTTCTGTAAAACTCGTTTTCCCTTCATTTACTCTTTGTTTCTTTTTTCTTTCTCTCCATCTACAGAGACTCTAGTTACCACATTGATCATTGCTTCGACCGCTGTCGACGATAACTGATAGGTCCCAAAATTTTTCTTCCACGCTTCTAAACACAAATTTAGAACATTTGATTAAAAAAACATTTAAAGTTCATAAATTTAGTCTTCAACTATTTGGTTTCTTATTCCTTGATCTATGTCGTCTGTTGTTAGATAGAATCCAATCGATATATGTTATTTTCCACCTTAAAATGAATCTCTCCACCGTAGAGATCTTCAAATAGAGACTTCGATTCTCAATCCTATCATATAAGAGTATGAGTTTGAGATCCAACTTATTTTCTCAAATTTTAGGGATATTGTCATTTACGTCGATATAGTCAATAGGTTAAAGTCCAACTCAGATTGCGGTCAATTTTTTAATGAAAAATGACGAGTTTGGAGTATAATAAATAGTTGGGTGACCATTTTATAACTTTTAATAGTCGAGGGAATCGAAAAAGTAACATCTTATAGTCAGGGACCATTTTGTAACTTTACCCTTAAAACAATGAAGGAAGAAGGAAAAGAGTAGTAGAAAGCAACATGTTGGTGATGGCCCAATGGCATGTCTAACATGCCCCATTGATGTGGGAATTCGTTTTCCTCCACTCTTTGCTTCCAACTATTCCTTTTCCCCTCATAATTCCTCGCCTTATTTAGCAAAAGTTTATTAATCTTCATCGATCTCAACGATATGTCGAGTGAGCGAGGCAAGCATATAGCTGAAGGATCATCAAGGGCTGATGATCCTCAGCAGCAGCAGCCGCCTAGCCGGTACGAGTCACAAAAGAGAAGGGATTGGAACACTTTCGGACAGTACTTGAAGAACCAGAGGCCACCGGTCACTCTTTCGCAGTGCAACTTCAACCATGTGCTCGACTTCCTCCGATATCTAGATCAGTTCGGCAAGACCAAGGTCCACCTGCAGGGCTGCATATTCTACGGACAGCCCGAGCCGCCTGGTCCTTGCACTTGTCCCCTCCGGCAAGCTTGGGGCAGCCTCGATGCTCTCATCGGGCGGCTTCGAGCCGCGTATGAAGAGAATGGAGGGTCACCCGAGACGAACCCTTTCGCTGGCGGTGCCATTCGAGTTTATCTTAGAGAGGTCAGGGAGTGTCAAGCTAAGGCTAGAGGGATACCTTACAAGAAGAAGAAAAAGAAGGCCAAGGGGAGTGATGAATCAAGCACATCCATTCACTTGTCTTGATGGTAAAATAATTTATCACCCCTACTTTCACTTACAAAATGCTTAGATCTCAAGAACCCTAATTTGCATTTATAGTGGCATGTGGAATTTTTAAACGGAAGAATAACAAATCAATATTATAATAGAAAAGATTACGAATAATAAGTGAGATTTAACGAGGTTTAACCTTGACTAGCTACAAGAAGAATAATAATTCACTATGAATGTAGTGATCATTTAACCTTGACTAGCTATAAAGAAGAATGAGAAGAATAATAATTCACTATAAATGTAGTGATCATGAATGGTACAAATATATGATATCCTATGTATCTAAATTCTAATATCTATATCAAAATTCGAAATATCCTAAATCACTCTTTCAATACCTCAATAAAACTCATTTTTATAACATAAACTCCTATAAAAAAAACCATAAAAGGAGTACATTTCTCATAATTTTACAGGTTAAGACTTATCATATTTATATAATAAACTCAATCACCAAAATAATCTTCGACTATTAAAATTACTATAGACAATATACAAATGATAGAAAGCAAACGACTGTTGAGCGTTTAAGGTCTCTCAAGAAATCACCGTAGATAATATTTTAGTGGTTAATCCATGGTTTTTGACATTTTGGTCGATTAAATTGACAATTAAACCAATACCCCACTTGAAATTTTCTTTTGCTTTTATCAAGTGCAGAAGATCATTGCAAGGCTAGTTTTGAGATTTTGCAGTAATAAATTAATTGTACCTTGCATAGATTGCATGTTGTCCAATATGGGATTTTGTGGGACACAGTTATATTCCATCTGCATTATATACATTCGCTTTTCTGATTAAAGATTTCGGTGGAGCTAAAGCTTTCGATGGGTACGCGCGTTCATCAGATAAACCGACCTTCAGACATCAAAAGAATACATGTTTGTTTGTTTGTCTTCATGTTTTTTCTCACGTGTTCTTGTCGTTCATCATCATCACCATGATTCATATGAAAGATATCACAGATCCTATTTATCTTTCATGGAATTTCTGCGGCTTATAATTTGCACGGTCAATTAGTTTTCCAATAAATTCAAAGGATCTGTTCCTTAATGATCGTTGGTGCTCGAACCCATGACCTCTAGGGATAATAATCATCATTTTAATCACTAAAATCACTTAGTTCGTGTTGGAGTATCCACGTTATTAAGTTCAGTTTCTTTGATAGTTTGTTCTTGGTTCAATCTGAAAATTATAAGTAAATTAGCGATACCAAATCATTAAAAATGAAATTATTTATATTTTCTCTTATTTCTTTGTACATATATATTGATATTTAATTTATGCGTACATACAAATTATTGTCACAACTATTCGAATTCAAATATTTAATCATTGAAGTTACTCGATGTGTTATTCAATACTTACAACTTGATGAACTAATGAGGTATAGTTTGATGCAGGGATTACAGGAGAAGAGGATCAAATGTGAAGGGATCATAATATGATAAAAATCAATCCAAGATTTAGCTGAGTTTGGAGTTTTTAATATATTTTTTGGGGGGTATATGGCAACTAGCCATAATCAAGGGATCAGTTGGGTGCCTAAACAATAATATGATCGTATCATTTGTAACAATTATATGAATAACATCTCTATCGTTCTAGTTAGGGACCATATAATTTTATGTTAAGGAGTATAAATTTATATTTAGAGAAAGAATTTTAATAATAAATTTGTGATTAATTTTTTATTATCCGTGAATTTTCCATAAAATTTCACGTAAAATTTATATATTTTCACATTACGATTACCCATATTTACTATTATTGTCCCATATAATATAGTGAAGTATTAAATATGATGTTGTTTAGAGACGCACATATGATTTTATGCTAAATGGACGAACCTCTTAAATTTTAGGCGGTGATAGATTTATAAAATTCCAATGAGGCAAAAACAAGTTCCCACCCATCCTTCCTCGGATCCATCTCTGGTGTTATTGATTTTTTATTTGAAAGGAGACAGTCGGCACCTGATGTTCATGTACAATTTCATAGACATAGTGCAAGCTAGGATTGTAAACGAGTCGAGTCGAGGTCAAATATTTTTAAATTCAACTTAACTCAAAAATTCACGAGACTAAAATTTTGAAGTAATAAATAAACGGAACAATGAGAAGTTGGAATGCAGTACTTTTAGGTATGTTTGAAAAGACCTGATGAACAAATGGGGACAAACAACTTTATACGTAGTTATGTTACCTGCATCAATTATTCTTACAAAACAAATACCAGATAGAGACTATTCCTGTTCAAATGTTTCTGGACACTTGTTTCATCTGCCCGATACAAATGGGAAGTTCTAAAACATTATTATTTCTACATAAAATATCAATATTTTTTAATATTTTTGGTAAAATGTTCAACAATAATAAAATCGCTAGAAAAAATAACAAAACCGGTAGAAATAATAATGTTTCTGATAATTTTTTACCGGTTTTGTTATTTAAATAATAACAAAACAAGTAACACTTTTTTAGCAGTATATTAATGTTGTCGCACGTGATCATTTCCCGATACAAATAGATTGCTACTTGTTTAACTCTTTCCAAGATAGCTCAGAAGAAACAATAACTTCATTTATTAAATTATTCGTTTAACGTTGTTTTATTAAGTTAAATAAATGAGTATGAATAAATTTTATACTCATTGAATGAACACAAACATGTGTATGTTCGATTTATTTATATTCACAAACAACTTGTTTATCGAATTGTATATAGAGAAAATAACCTCAGTGACCAAAAATCCCATATAATATACGATTTTGACCAACTTTTTTTGGATTTGCGAAAATGACCAACAAAATCGCAATGCGATCTCTAATTCGCATTGCGATCTCCACTATCGCAAATTCGCGTTGCATTTCGCGTTGCGATAGTTGAAAATCGCGTTGCGATTTTTCATTTTGCGTTGCGATAGTCTACAGTTGTCGTTGCAATTTTCCAAATTCGTTGCGAAAATTTGTTGTGATAGTTAAAAAAAATATTTTGTTTCTCTAAAAAGATAGTATCCGCACGGACGTGTCGAAGACACGTATTACCACGACCACGACCACGACCACGACACGACCCGACGACGGCGGCGGCGCACGAGAGTCCCCCTTGTTCTCTATCACTCAACAAGGAAGTGAGAAAGCCAAGCCTTAAATACTATTCCCAATAGTGTTTCCAATACTATGTGGGATTTGAGCATTACCAACACTTGTTCCCAATACTATGTGGGATTGAGCCTTAAATAGTGATATTATTTTTTGAATGTTTTGCTTAAAATTGCAATAATCGCGATTGATTGTAGATTGACTTTTAATTATGACATATTTAATCGTATAATACTAACGCAATTGGTTGCTAATTCAGTTGTGTTTAAGGTGCATGATTGTTAATTGTTTCCTGAATAATCACATTGTATTGGAAACAAGTGTTGGTAATGCTCAATCCCACATAGTATTGGAAAACACTATTGGGAATGGTATTTAAGGCTTGGCTTTCCCACTTCCTTGTTGAGTGATAGAGAACAAGGGGGACTCTCGCGCGCTGCCGCCGCCGCCGCCGCCGCCGCCGCCGCCGTCGTCCGTCTCAGGTCGTGGTCGGGGTCGTGGTCATGGTAATACGTGTCTTCGACACGTCCGCGCGGATACTATCTTTTTAGAGAAAATTCTTAAGAAACAAAATCTTTTTTTTAACTATCACAACGAATTTGGAAAATCGCAACGACAACTGTAGACTATCGCAACAACAACTGTAGACTATCGCAACGCGAAATGGAAACTATCGCAATTTGAAATGGAAAATCGCAACGCGAAATGCAACGCAAATTTGCGATACTGAGGTTTTTTCTCTTGTATATAAGCTCGTATATTCGGTTATTCCTTCCCTTTTTTGTATATTTCAAATATAGACGAAGACAATGACTAAATTGAATATAAGATGAACTTTAGTTTACTATGAAGTTTAGACATTTAAGGACTATGGATGTAGTTTCACCATATTCTTTGGCTTGCATATAAAAGGAAAAAAAAGAGAGGGTTGGTTATCCAACATGTTTACGAAGTTAAACGAACATGTTTATGAACGTCAACGAACTCAAAAATAAAAACGAACACAAATATAACTCGATTCATTTAGTCCTAATTACATGTTGGTCAAATAATATAGCAGTTGGTGGCTGCTTGAATTTTCAAAGGGGGTGCTTTAAATTTCAAAGTTAGGCAGCCCATATTTTTGAATTTAAGCAAGGGTTAATTATTTTTTGTCATTAGACTTTAGGGTATTTTCAAAGATTAGTCCCTAAGTTTCAACTATAAATACCCTAGCTCATTTAGCTTGAAAATCATCCCAAAACATTTCTTTCTTCCTATACTAGAGAGCTTTCTTGTGAGTAGCGAGTGTTTTGTAAACACCTGTAAATTTTCTCTCTTAGTAAAAGATCTGCAGCAGTCCGGAGACGTAAGCAAAATTGGCTGAACTCCGTTATCAATTTCGGGTATTATTTTTCCGCTTTTATTTTGCATTCTCACTAATCTGATTATAGGAAAATTACTTGTACTTGGCTTATTTCCTAACAACTGGTAATCAGAGCTTTTGGTTGTGAATTTTGTCAATTGTTGCGAGGTTACTATTCATTACTATTCACATGAATAGTGAATTTTGTGAATAGTAAAAATTTTGTCAGCGATACGAGTTTGTCGACGGAGGTGTTATAATACACGGTGGTTCGCACAAATTGTTAGAAACGATTCGAAGAAGCCAGATTCGAGTGGGAGCGATGGCTGCAGACGAAGGAAAGGTGAAAATTGAAAAGTTCGATGGTGCGGACTTTGGCTTTTGGAAGATGCAGATTGAAGATTTTCTGTACCAGAAAAATCTATATCAACCTATTTCAGGAAAACAACCAGAGGGCATGAAGAATGAAGACTGAGCTCTTCTCGACAGACAAGCCCTCGGAGTTATCCGACTGACGTTGTCCCGAAATGTTGCTTTCAACATATCAAAGGAAAAGACCACGGCGGGTCTTATGACGGCTCTCTCCAGTATGTATGAGAAGCCATCGGCCTCAAACAAAGTTCATTTGATGAGACGATTATTTAATTTGCGGATGGCGGAAGGGGCATTAGTGGCTCAACACCTAAATGAGCTCAACACAATCACAACCCAGTTGAGTTCCGTGGAAATTGAATTCGATGATGAAGTTCGAGCTTTAATTCTCTTATCATCTCTACCAGGCAGTTGGAATGCTACTGTTACAGCAGTTAGCAGCTCATCTGGAAATAGTAAATTAAAATTCGACGATGTTCGGGATCTGGTACTGAGCGAAGAAATTCGACGGAGAGAATCGGGTGAATCATCAACCTCCTTAGCCTTGCACACGGAGTCCAGAGGGAGAACTTCAGAAAGAAATTCAAATTGTGGCAGATTGAAATCCAGACGGGGAAAATCAAGAACGGGAAAGAAAGATTTTACCTGTTATAATTGTGGCAAGAAGGGTCACTTTAAAAGGGATTGCCAAGCACTAAAGAAAGATACTGGCGCATAGAAATCTGCAAACATGACAGAGGAGACAGGTGATGCCATGATTCTAAGCGTCAACAGTCTGATTGAATCCTGGATCTTGGATTCAGGGGCATCTTTCCACTCCACCCCATGCCGAGAAATCATGGAGAACTATGTCAGTGGTGATTTTGGGAAGGTTCATCTAGCCGATGATGAAACCTTGAAGATCATCGGAAAAGGAGACATCCGATTAAAGTTGCCAAACCAGACCACCTGGACGCTGAAAGGAGTGAGACATATTCCTGGCCTCAAAAGAAATTTGATTTCTGTAGGACAGCTTGATGGTGAAGGATTTAGCACAACCTTTTCAGGCTGTGAATGGAAGATTACTAAAGGAGCACTCTTCATTACTCGTGGTAAGAAAACTGGTACTCTCTATATAACCTCAAATTTAGAGAATATCATTGCAGTAGCAGATGCTGATGGAAAATCAAACCTATGGCACCAAAGGGTTGGCCATATGAGCGAGAAAGGGATGAAGACACTTTTGTCAAAGGGGAAGTTGCCAGTAGCAGATGCTGATGGAAATCAAACCTATGGCACCAAAGGGTTGGCCATATGAGCGAGAAAGGGATGAAGACATTTTGTCAAAGGGGAAGTTGCCGGATCTAAAGAATGTAGATGTCGGACTATGCGAATATTGCATCTTTGGCAACAAAAGAAGTCAGCTTGCAAAGATTGGTAAGACACCCAAGGCTGAAAAGTTAGAGTGGTTCATATGATGATGAGGACCATCTCCAGTTCCATCTCTTGCAGGCTCACTATATTATGTCACCTTCATCGATGATTCTACAAGGAAGGTGGGGTTTATTTTCTGAAGAAGAAATCAGACGTCTTTGATACCTTCAGAAAATGGAAGGCCATGGTGGAAAATGAGATTGGCCTGAAAGTCAAGCGGTTGAGGTCTGATAATGGAGGAGAGTACAGAAATAGGAGATTCAGAGATTTCTACGCAAA